AAAAGGAAACAAATTTGCAAATAAACGTTTTCCCCGAACAGAATTTTTCAAGAACACCGTCCAAGTGTTAAATAACGTTATAAAAAGTAAAAACCGTGAAAAGTTGATATTTAGTTAGTAAATCAATCTGACGACCAATCTTTATTAGAGCAAAAAGTTTTATTTATATAAATTCTGTTTGAATAATTAATTTTCGAAGAACGACACGTACTTTGCCCAAGGGCAATCTATTCCTGGAATTTGAATCTATCTCAATCTGAATGATAATCGAAAGCCCTTTTAAAATAAAAAATGTGATGCTAGTACGAGTCGCTGGCGCTATCTATTTGTAATTCTGGCTGGACTTCTTTCTATGTTTGATTTAGAACTACATTTGTAAGCGGACGCAAAACACTTAGCAGCTAAAAAGGACTTTGCATCGGCAATGAGCCCGCTCGCCTAACGGTAGCATATGCAAAATGGCGCCATTCTTAAAGACGAAAACTAAAAACAAAAATGGAAAATGGAAAATCGTAAACTAGCAGCCCTAAGCTTAAAGTAAAGCAGCAGAAGCTGCCCACGTTCCCACTGGCCGCTTGATTGATGTGCGGATGTTAGACAGCTGCGTGGGGCGTTGCCAGACCGCAGGCAGAAAAAATTGCCACAGTGATTGTCAAAAAGGGTTCGAATCCCCTGCCCAGCCGTACGCAATGATTGTGTTTTAAACAGACAGCAACAAAAACTGTAACAGAAACTTCATTACGTGTCGTCCTTTAGTCCTGACCGTGCTTTTGGGGCTGGCCCCAAAAATTAATTGTCTGGTCGGCCCAAGTCGACAGCTGCCCTCGATTTGCTATGCGCACACATGTCACCGCTGCCCGTAGCTACCCCCTCCCCCCCCCCCCCCCCCCCACCCCCCGCACTCATCGTGCTGCCTACGCTTATGTGCAGTTCAGGTGAGTAGCTTAAAGATTTATGATAAAGTCAGGCAAATGCTAAGCAAAGCAAAAAAAAACTTGCTCAAAGTTTGGCATTAGATTTCGCAATGGCTCATTGCGGCTCGCTTATCTATGAAATGAATAAATCTGAGTGCCTTCTAATCAGAGCAGACGTGTTCCACAAATCGATTCCAACGCAATTTCAATAAGATTTCAAAGCAAGGGTACTCCAAAAAACAATTTCTATGCGTTTCAACAGACAAATTTTGACTTAGTGCAATGCATATGTGCTCCATAAATAAATTCCAGCCTTAAGTCTTTTTCTAAAAATATATATACACTCTTTATAAAGTATCTTTGGTTGCTATTTAGGAAATACTTTGCACTATCATGCAAACATATATACAGGTTAATTCACATATTAAAAAGCGAACATAAATTTAAATTTAAGTACTGCTGAGCCTCCGACCAAATGGATATGATTTCGATTATTATAAAATCAATTTCAATTTATTTATTCATTCTGTGAAAGGGTTTACCATTACTCTAACGAATAGCAAATAAGACACAGCATAGCCCTTTTTACTTCTTTATTGTTCGTCGTGCGATACAAAACTGCGTTCTCTCCTACATAATAATGTTATATAGCGTGATAATGTTAGTGCTTATGTTAAAGTGTATGAATGACAATGTTATATGGGACTGATTTATGTATGTATGAATGAATACTTATGTTGCTATGTGTTTATCCTACTAAAATGTATCAAAATAACCTAACACTTAGATTGGCGATTTCAGATTTCGAATTGCAGAACAGCTTGTGCGTGATAAACTCAATTGAGCTGCGACACATGCTCCAAAAATTTGTTGTTTTTGTTTAAGACTGTCCCCAGTGAATCTCACCGCCTCACTTCCTCTCCCCCCCCCCACCCCCTCGTCCTCTCTTTCTCTCACGCTCTCTTTTACACAGCAAGAGACATACCTCTTGGTGCGTGTCGTAGCTTAAGCGCTTAAAATGCTTTTTGACAACAACGACAACAACAACAACGAAAGCAAAGAGCATTGAAATGATAAATTTGCTTTTATCCCGCTTTCTATTGCTCAGCGAACTGTTGTTGTTGTTGTTGTTCTTTGTCTCCTATTTCTATCCTAATCCTATGTACAGTTATACAACTCTGTCGCAGCTTGCCGCTTACCGTCTCTGTCTGTCGCTTGCTTGAGCTGCTGCTGTTCTTCTTCTTCTGTTTCTGCCTATTGCCTTGTAAAATTTCATTGCCTACTTTGCGACGCTGTCGGCAAAAATCACAGCGCCGCCAATTTGCGCTCAATTAATTATGCTGTTTATTTCTCGTTAGTTGTTGTTGCTGTTGCTCTTCATTCGCTCGTTTTTATTATTATGATTATTATTATTTGTGGCCATACTTTTGATTTGCGACCGCCTTTGTGTTTTATTATGCGCTGCTGTTGGCGTTGCCACTTAATTTATTTACGCTGACGCTTTGCGCACACTTTTCACATCAATTCAGATTTGTTTGGCAGATTCCGTGAAAGTGTATTTGATTTTTAAAATATTTTCAGGTTTTGCAGTTAATCTGTGTTGTGGGGCGGTGGGCGTGGCATTAATTGCACTTACCATTATTAATAAGCTGACGCTTTATGCCGATTTACGAATTATATTAATTATGTAATGATAATTACCGCATTTGTCGGGCGCGGCATAAAGTGCATTTTACAAGTGTTGGTTAACGCAGACTAGATGGCGTGGTCAGCGCCTTGATTATGCAGGAATCTGCATAAAGTGTGGTTTACAAGTGCTTTGCCCGCAAGTCCTTCAGTTGCCCATGGAAAAGCATATTTTAGTGCTGTACTCGTACAATTGCCGCATTGGCTGTGGCTTATATATATATGTGTCAGATATAAAATATTCTCGATTACTTTTCCATATATTCAACCGTTTTTATCGGCAGCTTAGCTACGACCCTGGCTAACACGGTTCGGCATTCAAATTTTTTCTTCTTTGACTGCCAAAAGTGTCGCATAAGCTTTTCTGTAGCCGTTACCCACTGAAAATGGATTAAGCAAGGGGTATATTGCAGCGATGCAAGTGTATGCAACAGGCAAAAGAGGGAATATTCAATATCTTGTATATCGATATATATCGATTACGGCTTCTTCTATTTTTCATATATCTCAGTTTGGCCTTCTTCATTAATCCCTCTGAATTTTAAGAGATAAGGCCTAGATTGTTGGTATATACACATATTTGACTGTCATTTTTATAGCTCCGAATATATGCCAATTGGACGGTTGATATTCTCTATTCGGTTTGTTATAAACCCCGTTTAGAGGAGGCAAGGCAATCCTAGCAAAGACAGTTCTCAGATATCTCATAGTCGCGCACTCCCTACTGGCGCACTCTTGTTTTCCTTCCTTTTTTTCTGCTTTTTTTGCTGTTATATGCAGTATTTTTCACACTTGATATAACAGGCAGCCATTTGTTTGCACAGCAGAAGCTGCCACGCCCAACGCCCACACTCAAAGGTCGCTCGACTGCATTGCTCACTTTGGCAATGCGATTTGCCAGGTGCGCCTGCAGGTGTACCTTTGTGTGTGTAATGGCTCCCAAAGCGCACAAACAAAACTGTCAACATGGCTGCAGAGGGAGGACGCGGTGGGGCAACTAGTGCCAACTGCCAGCTGCCGCTCCTGTTCGCTCCTGCGGCTCCTCTTGGTCTGCTCTCCAAGTGCTTCGCTCGTTTGGCACGTCTAATGCAATTTTTATGCTGCACTGAAGCCAAAAACGCTTCCGTTTGCCGAGCTGCTGTCTGGCCATTGTCTTCGCCAGGCTGTGCCCAACAAAAGAGACGCGCTTATTAAATTGTCGGCAACCCGCTAGTTTTTCTTAACCCCCTTCCCCTTCCCCTTCCCCTTCCCATTTCCCACTGTTTTTCTGGCGCTTTTCATTGAGTTTATTCTGGTTTTTGTTTAGTCGCTTTGATCGAAATATCTGCCACATAATGCAATCGGCGAGGCGTGCTCCGACTTGGCCGCCATTGACAGGCAGCTTCATTATATGCGCGCCGCATCAGGCTGCGTGTCAGCGACAGCCAAAGGATGCCCAAGGACGCGCGTTTTCGTGTGTCTGTGTGTATGTGTGTTTGTGTGTAAGTATGTGTGTGTACCGGACCACGCTGATTGCAAGCGCATTAAACGTGCATTGTTATACACTATACAGAATCGGAAACGTTCCCTTTGCTCTGATGCATGAACAAAGGAATAGACGGCGCCAAGACATTTTCAAAGCAGCTGCTAAGTTTAAAGCTGTTTAACGGCGTGTTTTGGTAATTTCGTCACTCTAAGTGAAAAACGCGTGGAAAGCTTATTTTCTTAAAGAGACGTATGTCGTATATTAATTCAATAATAGTATTGAATAATCCATTATATTTTCTTTACGTATCATCATGACAGCATTTGATCGGATTGGAAAAAGCATGAAAAATAAGTTTCACCTATTTAAAAACAAAAATTCGCCACAATGAGTGGAAATTCAAAATTGTATTGAATACCCGTAATATTTTCTTTATATATCATCATGATAGCATTTGATCGGATTTAATAAAGCATAAAAACTAGTTTCACTTATTAAAAAAAAAATTCCCCTTTCTGAATGGAAATTCAAATTGTATTGAATAACCCATATTATCTTTATATATCATTATAATAGCATCTAATCGAATTTAAAAAAAAAAAAAAAAATTAAAAATAAGTTTCATCGTTTGAAAATAATGCACATTTCCGAATGATAAATCAGTGGGAATTTGATAGTTAAATAATCGTTATTCGAAAAAAACGTAATAATTATAGATAGTAATTTAAAATCATCAGTTAGCTGATAAACAGAACTAAAATCTAATTTAAGACGAGTTTCACATTTCCACCCCAGCAGTGAAAAATTAGTGAAAAACTAAAAGTTAAATTCAAAGGGCATAGTTCTTGTTGCCACGGCTCGCTAATGCTCAACACAAACAGAATCATAAATATATATATATATATATAGAAAAGCTGCTTCTGCTTAGCACTCACCTTTAACCAGGGTAAGGATGCCCAGTGGCATGACGAGAACGGCAACCATTAGATCCGTGATGGCCAGCGACATGAGAAAGTAGTTGGTCACATTCTGCAGACGACGCTCCCAGGCGATGGCCAAACAGACCAGGATATTGCCCGCCGCGGTGCCAAAGACCAACACCAAGGCGAGCAGGGCCCAATAGTTGTTTGCATCGAACACGGGCTGAGCGGGACTTGGCGTTGGCATTGCGGTTGCATTGCTTAAATTCCAATTGGCCAGTGCCTGTTGGTCCGTATAGTTGGCCCGATCGGGCAGCTGCCAGAGCAGCAAATGCTGCAGCTGTTCGACGCTCATCTCCAGGCTGTTCCAGCCATCCTCGTCCTCCTCAGCTGTACCCTCGCTGTCGCTATAGTTGAGGGTGGCATAAACATCCTCCTCCATGTTGGCTATTTAGATTTTACTGTGCTCTACTTAAATTCTTGCAGTTCTTGTTGTTGCATAGCAATTAGCCAGCGCATATGGGCGTGGAGAAAAGTGCCTTTCACGTAGCAATTCAAATTGCAAATTGCAAAATGCAGCGGAAATAGGCGCTCCAAAGGACACGGCGAGAATGCAAACGTGGCCTCAATGCCTTTTGGCCTGCGGCATTACGCTGACGACAGCCAAGCGGATATTGGTGGCAAACATTTTACGGCGCAAAATTACCGGAAGTTACGAGCTGCAACGGAGAACAGAGCGTGGGAATGACAGCTCGAACGAGCACTTCAATGGTAACAAGAAGCAAAGCTAGAAAATTATTATATAATATTATATGTAAAGGCGCTTACATAATAATTGCATAGTATATAAAAAAAAAAATAAGGAAGAAAGGAACTGTCCGGAAGGCCAAACAAATAAATAAATATAGTTTTCATATGAAAACTCATACGGTCTAAGGGCTAGGAGAAGCCTCCCATTTATATATTACACATTTTGCCGAGCTCTTTGTATTCGCATAGATCAACATCAACCTCAGCCATATATGCAATAAACTTCTGTACTTTACCAAATATTCTTATACGAATTGTAATATTTTTTTCAATTTAAGCAGTCAATTTCGATATTAGTTCGTAGCTTCAGCATATGGCAAGTCCATGAAACTAACAGAATACACTAATTTTAGAATTCCCAACCAGTTATAACAACAAATGCTACATAACAGGTTGAATCAATTGTGGCATTCATCATATGTGAATTAATGCACTGCAATAAATTCTACCATCGACTAACCAAAAGCTGTTGTTGCACTTGTGTGCGCACAAGAAATGTGTATAATTAATTGAAACATATTTCGGAATGGAGCGCAGGATTAAAACCACAAAAGCCAAAACACAGAAAGTCACCCATACCCACACGCACACTCACAGATGGGAAAATATTAACCTAGAGCCGAAAGCAAACAACAGTCAAATGAAATTTATTTCCACAATTTACACACACACAGACCGCAAAGGAAAATATCTTCGTCTACGTCTCTTGGTTCATTTCGCTTTGAGAGTGAGCTACTTTTGAGGCTGTTTGACCAGCAGCCACTTGAGTGTGTGTGTGTGTGTGTGTGTGGGTGTGTGCGGCACACTATATAAACAGTAGCCAGAAACTAGCCACATCAACAATGACAAAACAATTCATGAGTAGCAAATGGCGCAGCGCTTACCAAACTCGACTCGCCTCAGCAGCTTGTTGACTTTACGAGTGGCCCGCCCGCCTTCAGCTGCACCGCCCACGTCCGCCAGTGTTCCGTCCAATTTTCAAGTGTCAATGTTGTTGTTAATTAATTTTCCTGACTGACTGATGCATGCCATAGATAAGAGTCAACACCTTCAGCTCCAAGTGTCTAGTTCAGTTGCCTTGATAAAAAGTTGTTGTTCTCTTGTTGTTGTTGTTGTTGTTGTTGTTGAGTGTTTGATTTTGTTGTTGTTATTGGTGCTCGTGGTGCTGCTGGACTCGGCTAATGACAGTCAAACGACCACTCCAACTCTGTGTGTGTGTCGAGTGTTTAAATTTCCAGCTGTTTGCTTTTTATTCAACTCTATGTGTCCTGTATTTAAGCCGAGGTGATAAAAATGTGTTTAAAATTAGAATGCGCCGTAAAAGTTGACTAGCTGGCAACGCTAGGAGTATGGAAGTAAGTGTTGGAAATGACCGAGTCAGTGAAAAACATACACGAAAGGTAGAAACCCACATAAAATGTAGCTAACTATAAATTTTCTCTTAAAGAAACCGATAATATATCCTTTATATGCCTCCATATAGCCTGTAGTTAGGCCGTGGCAAATATTCCTTAAAGTGTGTTTAAAATTAGAATGAACCGTAAAAGTTGTCTAGCTGGCAACGCTGGGAGTAAGAAAATGAGTGTTGGAAATGACTGAGTGAGTTTAAAACACACACGAAAGGTAGAAAGACACACAAGCTTAGTTAACTAAACTTAACAAAGCAAAGGAAGCAAAAATATGTTCTTTATCAACAAAAAATGTTAGATATTAATTAAATATATATACATAAACAAGAATAAACTTTTTAATGGCAACACTGTGCACAAAGTGAGTGCTGAAAAGTGAGCATTGAGGGTAGACTACCGTGGCTTGAATAAATAACTTGCCCAACTGAAAGTAAGATGTTTAACGTTTAGTCAACTTTTATCTGTATTCGAAAAGAAATTACCCGGCTTCGCCCAGGTCAAATGGCTAATGTTGAAAATGGAAGCAGTATTCAAATTGTTTGTGTACAATTGTAGCTTTGAACCGGCGACATCACGCTCATTGGTACGACGCGATGCTTTTTAATGTTTTTCAACCAAACATTGACCACCATATTTCCCCACTTGGAGGGGAAATAAGAGAAAAAAGAGAACTATACTACATGCGCTAAAATGTTTTCAGAAAGTGGTCTGGAGCCACAGGATATCCCATAGTCATTCAGAGTCAACAATAGCGTAAATAGCAAATATACCTACCTATAGGTATATACACAACTTGGCTTTTTCCCATATATAAATGGCATGTCAGCACACAAAGCGAAATAAGAGTCGACTCGAGCCATAATTATTTGTAGGTCTGTGTCTGTGTGTGTGTGTGTGTGGCACGTCAGTGGCGGCTATTTGGACATGAATTGCACAAAAGCCCAAATAGTCTGCATATATATAAACACACATATACATACATATACATATAAAGGACTCGAACAGTATCGAATGAAAAGCAGCGCACCATTAGTCATATTAATCCCAGCAGAGTCATTAAGTCGTAAAACTGAGAAAGGTAGCAAAATGCCAGCAAATGGCAGTTGGGTCAAGCTGTAGGCTTTACTTTCTTCTGGTTTCTTCTTTTCCTTTCTTTTTTTTTTATTGATATGAATGTATCATTGAGGTATCTACAAGCATGCGTACATGTAGTCAGGTATTTGGGTCAATTCGGTCTGCTGTTTGCGTCCAGTCAACAAACGGATAAAGACGACTTTAAGTCGTATACTTAATTTCGATAATGTGTTAAACATAGCGTAGGGCAAACATCAGAACAAATGCACTTTGTATTTGTATTCATTCCAGAAATTGATTCCAACTGAAACCAAGTAAAATTTTTGTTGGGAAAAAAAAAACCCGTTGAGCTGTGGTTAAAATTGAAATTTAATTTTTTATAGATTGTGGCTATCCAAATTTGTGCTTAAAATAACATAAAGTTCGAGGCAAGTAGTATTAACATTAAGATAAGGCTAATGAATCCCTCGCTAGCCTTTATACAGAAATATGAATTTTAAAAGACATTACGTAAGATAAAGACGAATCTCAACTTCGTAGGCTGTGCTTGAAGGAAGACGAAATAACTATGAGATCTCTGGGATAGAAGTAAGCAGCGCGACCTTATTTTGTCTCCCCAGCTCTCGATATCGATTTTGTATCGATTGCTATGAAACGGAGTAAGTTATCGATTGTCGGAAACAAACTCGATGCGCGGGCACTAGGAGCACCTACATCTCTAGCTCTTATAGGTTCTGAGATCCTTGCGTTCATACATACGGACAGACGGACAGACAGACAGACGGACATGGCTAGATCGATTCGGCTATTGATGCTGATCAGAATATATATACTTTATGGGGTCGGAGATGCTTCCTTCTGCCTGTTAGATACATTTGGATTTTGCACAAATGCAATATACCCTTATACCCATTTTTAATGGGTTCAGGGTATAAAAATCCGTTTAGTCATTGCAAAGTTATGATTCGTGTTAAGTCTAGGTAGGGCGTCAAGTGAGGATTTGAGGATTTTTAATAGCCTAACAAAGAACACGTGCAGTTTTGCAGCCTGCAAGCGCTGTTTTCTGCTCTAATTATTTGTGCTGCAATCTGTGATAAATTGCGTAGATGCCTACAGAAAACCACTGTGCAAAAATTTATATTAAAGTATTTGCAAGTGTCAGCAACAACAAAAGAAAATAAACTTGCCACAACTGCTGACTGTCAACGGGGTGTCGGTTGGCAATTTTTTTTAGAGAGACGCCAGCTTAAAGGCCTATTTAATTTAAATTCTTACATTATTTATACGCATTTTTTTTTTGGCTGCGATCAAAGCGGCGCCTAGCTTAAATATTTTCCAGGCAATTTAAATTTGAATTTGAACCAGAAGGAGGAGGAGGAGGAGGAACAGTTAGCAGGAGCAAGAGCAGAAACAGGTGCCTTCAATAGCTTTTAATGCAAATTAATTTCATTTATTTCTTCACTTTTTATTTGTGTGTTTTCTGTAATTGAATTTTGAAATTGATTTCATCCAGCCGCATATTTTATCTATAATTATTGTATTTTCATTCAAGTGGAGCTCTTAAAGCTGGCCAATAAATTAAATAAAATGCGATACAGAAAGTCGCAACTGTAGTCTACTTTTGTGCGCTGATGTAATGGGCAAAATACCTCATGACCCGAGCTTTTGAGCTCGCCTAAAATTCTATTCACTTTTTCCTTTGTGCCGCACCCAACCGACAGGCCGACCGAGAGACACACAGTCGGACAGACAAGCAGCTCCTTCAGCGATTAATCACAGCTACAGTTGCGGTTTTTGCTGGGGAATATATATCTATATATATATATATAAGTATTTATATATATACAAGTTCAGGTGAGTATTTTTAGTTCACACTTAATGATGTGGCCCGAGTAAGAAATAACGAGAGCATCGCTACAGGAAGTCACATAATAACAGGATGTGGCAACGCACTTGACAAATATTTACATGTCCTTCCACTTGTTAGGGGTATTACCAGAAAGCTAAAGCATTGTAGATATATTAAGTAAGACATATTTTAAGTAAGACATATTGGTAGCTGTAAACTAAAGCATATGCTTCTTCTTTTACAGCGTATCAAGCAATTAAAATCTTGGAAAATATTTACTTGCTCTTTACACTGCTTTTTGGCGTATTCCCAGGTAACTGAAGACTTGGATATAGGTTAAATATCAGCTATAAACTTAGCACAAGCCTTTTTAGTCGGTAATAAATCTAAACCTAACTAAATGCTTGACCAATATAAGCATGCCCTCGCACACTTTAGAAATATTCCCAGATGAGGATCGGAAGCTATAGATAATTTTATAGGGTATATCAATTATTTATTAATTTCATATTGCCAAACATTTAAATGTGCTTTGCTTTACTTTCAGGTATTCCCAGGTAGCTGAAGACTTGGATTTAGGTTAAATAACAACTATTAGCTAAAGCACCTGCAGCTTCTGAGCACAAGCATTTTTACAGGGTACTTAATCCGAACCTAACTAAATACTTGACAAATATTTACATGCCCCACACTCTTCCTATATGGCTTTAAGATCTATTAAGATATCAGCCACAAGCGAAAGAATCTACGCAACCTAGCAATTCTACAGAATATCAATCAAACAAATCTTAGCTAAGCTCAGACTACAAAACTAAGTAACCAAATGGTCAAACGGTGTCCGACTAGAAAATACTCTGCAACACGCTAAGCTTGAGGCTGCGCTCTTTAAGTTGAGAACTTTATTCCTAAATAAGTCTAAAGTTTATTGTCGGTTTGTTTTAAATTTTTCACTTAATGGACTCTACGGAATTTGGCCATCTTTAAATGTTAAAAATTGTGGAATTTTCAAAATTTTAAATCATAATTTAAAGTTACAGCCTGCTTTTGTTTATATATCAGTTTTTTGTGGTAAGGATATCTCATATTTTTCAGACCATCGATGTGAAATTCGAGAAATCGCCGCAAAAAAAAACCGAAGTATTCACAGGCAACATATTTCACATTCGAAGATGACGAACATACATTCCAAATTGAATGTTTTGGCTAAACTTTAAAGATAGACAAGGCTCTCAGCCTGAAGGACCTAACGTAATCATGCCAGCTGGTCAAGAGTATACATACACTTTATAGATGTTTCCCTCTAAAAGATGTTTCCCCCATCTGGCCAAAAATATTTGACTTTTGTAGGGCATTTTAGTTGCGTGGCATCACGCTCTGTTTTCCATTCATAGAACACTTTTGCAACGCGCCATTAATCACACCCAGCTCCTCTCTCCGGCAGCTCTTGCCCCCCTCGACCATAATTATTTAGTTGTCATACCGAGTTGGCACTTAAAACGTTAGCTAAATTTACACATGCACTCAGGACGAGTCAACAGCAAGAAGGGGCATCAAGCAAGGAACTGTCAAGGATGCGTGCGTGTTTGTGTGTGCGTGTGTGTGGGCGTGCGAAAGGATTCGTGGAGTGGGGCGTGACTGATGTGGGCGGCAACACTGACACTTATCGTTCATTATTATCTATCTATCCCGGCACATAACATAGACAAGGACTCGCAGCCACAAGGACTCGCACACATAATTGATTTCCTTGCTGTTGTCCTCGCCCAAAAGCGGAGACAAAGACGCCTGGCCAGGACATTGTTGCGGCCATTTCGGGCAACAACCCCCCCACCCCCATTTGCTTGTTATAGTTTAGAGAGCTGAGCATTGTGGGCGTGGCATGTTCAACTTGGCGAGACCATAAATTAAATTCGTTTCACCGCGGAGAGTGAGCGCGGCCCAATTAAGACGCGATGCTGCGGCCAGAGAGAGCGAGAGAGAAAGGGGAAGAGTAAGCGTTTATATGTCTTTGTGTGTGTGTTGTGTGTTGTGTCATGTGTGGCTTGGCCCTTGTCCTCGTGTGGTTTTATTAGCAATTTCATTAGCTGCTGTCGCTGCTGGAGAGCTAAGCTGCAGCCAGGACCCTCAGGACGAATATCCAGCAGCAGCAGCAGCAGCAGCAGCAGCATCAGCAGCAGCAATTAGAAGCTAGCTAAACCAATTATCCTTGTCCGCTGATGCACAACAGTTGAGAGAATTCCACAGGATACCTAGCAGCGGGCCAGCGTTTTAAAACGCTGGAGAAACGCGTGTAACTCTGATGCCACGCCCCGCAGCATTGAATCAATTATTAATTTCCACCACTGCACAACAGTCAGCTGTGAGCCATGTTGCGCTTAGTCAGGTTCTACTGTAGCCAACAGCTGGCGCGCTAGCGAAACGCGAGCACACATTTGCCACACTTGCAACACGCTGACGCCACGGCCAAAGTTGCTGCTGCGCGCTGAATGTGGCATTGTTAAGCGACAGCTCATTTGATTGTTTCGACACGGACCATGCCCACTTTTGCTATAGCCGCCTCTAATTGCCATGCAATTAAATACAAATTGACAGTGGCAAAACAATTAGAGAAACTTTTACAATGCCAGCAAGAGGACTGTGGGGCGAGGCGGCAGTCGACGAGTGGGCGTACGCAATGAGGCGTGACAGGACACACATCAACACATACACACACACACACACACACACACACACATGTGCAAAAGTCATTGATTTGGGTCGCCGCTGGGCACAAGTCAAAGCCAAAGCAAAGGCTGCAACGGGGAAACGAGCGCGTATAGGAGTGTAGGGAAGGGGAGGGGGTTAGGGAGTTAGAGGTAGCAGCGTGAAAGCAAGAGAAAGCCAGAAGGACACAAGCAAATCAAATAAAATAGCTGAGTATGAAAAGGCAGCATAGTAAAAATCATCGAATCGTTGAATCATTGAATCTTTTTTTGGGGTCCCTCTGTCTGTCTGTCTTTTATCTGGAAGGACATTGGAACCCAAATCAAATTGAGATTTATGAGCGCAGCGACGTGTGTTTGTGATAGTTGTTGTTGCTGTTGTTGTTGTTGTTGTTGCTGCTGTTGCAGCTGTTTACTTCAATTTTTCATGTTGTTTTCCATTAATATATGCCGCTGTCTACTCTGCAGGCTTCACATTCAGGCCCTTCGCACCTGACAACAACAGCGCCCTTGACCAAACGTAACAACGACTACAACAACAACATTTACAACTACAACAACAACAATGGCGCATAACCAACAGCAGGTGTGCAAATTGTTGAATCATCCACGCAGCAGGCAAGCCAAAATATAATTTCAGGCATAACCAGCCACTAACAAAAAAAAATACGGTTTATGTCCGACCTGGAAATAGCCTAGAACCAGCGCGGAGCTGCATCGATATCTGAGACAATCGATATTTTCGATTCGCAAATAGTATCGATGTAAAAAATAATAATAATTAGAAGACATTAGTTATATTATATTAAGAAACAAATTTTTTTCTAAATGTAAGTAACTTTTCAATACAGTTCATGTGATATCAGGCTAATATTCAAATCCGTTTAAGTTTTTGCGATCTGAAATTATTCACCAGCTTTGCTATACGTTCTTTTTGTGACGGCTCACGTCGCCGGAACGCAAAAAAATGTGTCGAAAGCTCTCGCTATTTATTTGAAAAAATCAAGTTATTTTTGGTTTTAAGGCTTGTAGCTTGTAGCTTGTATAAACAATTACTGAACTTTATTACCATGCAATATACAAGTGGATTTCGGTCTTCCAGATCGTTCGGCTTTTCAAAATATTGTCTTAAAACAATAATAGCATCAGACCGTGATGATTCGAATTTCCAAAGAAAAGGCCAAAATATAAATTATTCTATTTACTTGTCGCTTTCTTTTGTTCGAAAAGTGTTTGAGCTGGGAAAACTGCGAAAATCGATATAGTTGATTGTCCCATCGATTGTTTTCCAGCTCGGAAAGCATTTTGAAGCATTCCAAATAGAAATACTCTAAAGAGGGAACATGTATAAAAATCGATTAATCGATGTCGAATTCATGGAAATTCAAAACAAACATGTAACATGCAAAAGTTACATTTAAAATGTCAAGTTGACAAACAAATGGACAGAGAGACGCCAGTTGATGTCGATCAAGAACCTTTAAATATAGGTACACTTGGTTGGCTACTTCTTGCTCAAAATCAGAATACCCTCGGTGAGGGTATGTCCCAAAATTGTGTTTTATTGATTTGGCCAAGTTCGTAGAATGTTAGGCAAAGTGCTGGAGCTGCTGGTAGCCAGGATAAGGCGTCGTTTCACTTCCTGGCTCAAAGCTAACCTGGCAACAACAATATTTTTTTGATGACATATTTAGCTATTTGCGTGCATCAATTATTTATGCCCGGACCGCGCCATGTCTTCTCCCCCTTCACACAAACACAAACACCCTCACTCGACGTGGCAAAATGCACGATTCGATTTGTGTCATAAATTGGCAGCTGACAGGGGCAGCAATAAAAATAAGCGGCCATAAAATTCAATTATGGCCACAACAAGTGCACAAACAGCACTGAATATAGATACTCAGGACATCACACATACACACACGCGCGCACACACACACTGACACTTTGCCCTGCTGCATGCGCAATCAATGCAATCAATTGTGCATGCAACCATGGTTGCCTCCGCTGCGCCGCGAGGAGGTGCAAGGCCCAACTTTCGATGCATCCAAATGATTGCCAGGCTTGCCAATGCAACCGCACACTCAACAACCACAACTACACCAACACACACACGCACCCACACACCCACACATTCTCACATACGCAACATGCAAAGCGACAATTTGGTTAGTGTGTGGAAGCGGCAGAGGCGACTGTCGTCGTGTTTAGCAACATTTTTGGTTACTTTCTAACGTTCTTAACGAGCACACAACAATATGCGACAGGGAACTCGCCGAATACCCTGTAATCTGCATATGCATAGCTGGCAACGATTCTTAGCTGAGCTAGTGTTGTATAATTATCAAAAAACACAGCAGAAAAGGGCAAGAGAGAGAGAGAGAGAGAGAGAGACCGAGAGAAGACGATAAGTAGCTATTAACTACTTATTGTAATTAATATTATACAGTTCTAGATTCATTTCGAAGCAACTGCAAGTTACAGGGTATAGCAACCATTTTCACAGCTCGATGAATGTATTTCATATGATGTTGTATTTACAGAGCATTTATCCGAGTCGAAGCCACAACAGTCAGAGGCAGCAGCAAAAAAAAAGTATGGCCCGCACAAGAGCAAACATTACTGAAGCTTTATAAATTTCCGATATGCAGTGCAGTCAGTCGTTTAAGAGCCCAATGGAATATTTATTAGTTTCATGCTACTTTAAATTGTCCACATGGGTGGAGGAGATGGGGCAGGGATCGTTGCAATGTCAACGCAATTTATGAAACATTTTTGAGTTGCAAGCCCGAGAAAAATACATCGAAAAATAGAAAAATAAATCTTACTTTTGGCTATGATGGTTTTGCATAAAATTGAAATGCAAAAAATCAAAATTAGAATACTCCATCAATATTTTTACCATAAGAAAAAAATATCTCTAACATCAAATAAAATAGAATCCATTTTCATTGAATCGCTAGCTTCAATAAATATTAATATTCATATCCAATTATTTAGGTGTAAAAAAAAAAAATTATAATATTCCATGTATATTTCTACCATAAAAAGAAAATATATTTCTAACATTGAATTAAATAGAATATATTTTCATTGAATTGCCAGTTTCAATAAATATTAATATTCATATCCAATTATTAAGGTGTAAAAAGGGCAACTGCCCTTTGGTTTAGGGAGCCGTAATAAATATGCAAAAGATAATAACAATTGGCAATAAAAATACAACCAACTGTCAATAAAATCTATTTGGTCAGTGCTTTGTGCGAACTAAATAAGTTCTAGCTACTC